CCGTCGAATTTGTTTTTTTGCGTCACCCGAAATTGACTTGCATGCGTTTGCATTTGATTTCATCATGCGTACCAAAACGCAAGCCGCGAATATTAGGTTAGCCTGTAAGCCATTTGTGTGTTGTGTACGGGTGTGCTACGCTTGAAGGTTTCACAAACCGCTCGAGGGAAATTTAAACAGAAATCAAAATTGATTTTCTGGCCGCCATGTTGAAATTTAAAAAAACCGTTTGCGTTATGTATAGCAAAATCACTTAAATCGCTCTTTAGACTTCTTGACTGGCGGTGTAAACGCCTAGGCTGTTCTGGCCAAGTCCAAAAACGCACGCCAGTCGTTTCTTCTGTGCCAACTGCCGCCAATTGGAAATGCCAAGTGAAGCCAAGCCCTTCTCCACTTTATCTTTGACAAGCAGAGGGTGCCTTCCTGTTCCCCTGCTACCAGCATCGCGACCCGCGTTGAATACTTTCAGAGCTGGAGCATTTCTGTCAATTCGTTCGACATTGACAAGCAAGCGTAACCGTTGCATTATAACACCGTGCGACATTCAATTTTACACACAACAAAAAAGTCAATATATTTGCGAAACTAGGGGCCAAAAATAGTAAAATTACGTTTTAAATGTTTTTCTATGACGCCAGGACTTCCGTTAAAAGGATTTAGAATTTTAAAGGTGTTATTTATTTACAAAATTATTTAAAAAAGTCAGTGCAATCTAGAATAAAAATATGAGTACCATATAATAGAGAAAATTCTGTGGAATTAATCAATTTTTTGGTGCTATCCTTAAATATCCTTGAAAATTTGCAGTATGTATTTTTGAAAAAAAAAGTAATGTTAAGGACGAATATATACATGACCACATCCTTGCCTACAAAAATATAATTAACTAAAAAAGTATTTTCAATATCTATTCATCCTTGTGGACGAAAAGACTTAAATTTTTTTTCAAGTCTACAGAATTTTTTCCTTCATTTGGTACCAATTTTATTATTCTAAAAAGTCCTGACTTTATAGAGAAAAACTAAATAAGCAGTTTCACTATATCTGGCACATAGTTTCGTGAATATAGTGCTTATTTTGTGCGTTTTGAAATTTTTTGGACTTCGTCGCACAGTGTAATCAGACTTCTTTACTTATTTTATTTTATTCTATGCAATTTTACTTTATGTTCTTATGCCCTAATTCACTAACATATTATCATTAATATATATATGTATATTGTTATTACAATGCATTAATAATAAGGTAATTGTACGCGGTGAGGTACTGAATGCAAGTATTTACTATGAATTCACTTTGCCTGCGGTTAACAACACCAGAGGGAGGAGGTATTCATGGAAGTTAGGTGATTGGACGCAATGTACCAGCAGCTGTGGCGGCGGTGTTCAATATCGTGAGACCCACTGTTTTGAGGAGGGTGAATGTAAGTGAATCGCCACACTGTGATTGTTTTGTTTTATTTTTGTTGTTATAATTTTTGTCGTACCGTGTAAAGTAACACCCGCCAACGAGCTGTGCTGGACTTTTGCACAAAACAAACGACCACCGCGCCGTGTACGAGTCTGCAACAAATTCTCATGTCCTGCCCACTGGTGGGCGGGGCCGTGGCAATACTGCCCAGTTACCTGCAAATGGTCCGAGGGTGTGTTGCCTGTGAGACGACGCTCGGTTATGTGCCTGGACCAAAATGAGGTTGTGGTCGCAGATAATCGTTGCAATGAAACACTAAAGCCACCGGACACAGAACCCTGTAGCTATAATTTACCGGCCTGCAAGGTAAGCCAAAAGCTGGATAACTTTATTTTGCGAGTGCAAAACTTATAGTACGCTTGAGCGACTTTTTAAAATCCAATGAAAGGCAACATACATATTTATGGCTTATGTTTATTCATATTGAAAATGTATAATTTTAGGTTTTAAGAATGTTGTACTTAGCAGTAATAAAAAAACGTTGTCTACGAATGTTTTGAACAAAATCGATGTTGCTAAAATCTATGCATGTATGTATGTACATATGTATTTCAGATACAAATTATGGCTAACATTTTACAATATGTGTGTATGTTTATGGTTAAGTTGGAGTGTAATTGTATTGTTAAACGAAGTAATTTATTGAAAAATAATAATAATATTAAAAAACACAAACACAAGCTGTGCATTCCCGTCGCCACACGCGCTGGGTGTTCTCGAAGCTAAAATCTTGTGTTGTCGGGCATTTTAATGAAATGCGCTATTTTATCTTTGGGCACTTTGTAGTTGTGCATCCAGCGGCTGCCTTTGCGCAGAGACCCATCTATGCCATCCTTCCATACACCTTGCGGTAAGTAAACTGCATAGGTAAAAAATTATTAAGTAAGTATACATATTTACATATATTTATTACAATAGTTTAGTTTATAATGAAATAAGAGAGTGTAGCTGCTTTACACGGCGAAAGTGAAACTTCTGGCGATTTATTTCTTGTTCTCCCTGAATTCAATCAGTTATAATTATAACAATAACATAATAATAATTATAACAATAACAATAACGGGACTAAATACTGGCGACGTTTGTTAACCCATTACAATA